CCAATTTTCTGTTCCTTCCACTATTATCCCACACCCTTAGTATCCATTCTCACACACGTTTTCTGGATTTCTGTGTACATAAATTAGAAAACTCAACTATTCTTTTGGTGTGTAGCTCATCTTTTCATAGGTCACACTTTTAGGGGCCTGCTAGGAATCTATTTATAGATGTAGAAGCAAAGAGAGGTATTGAGGGTGTGTCCTGAGGAGAATCAACATTGTCTGGCATGGCTACTGCTTCAGGGGAGGCCATGACAGTTCACTCAGACAGTGCAGGGTTGATCTCCTCATACAGGGATGGAGAAGCTGCTATCACTGGGGGTAGGGAAGCTGCTACCACTAAAGTTGGAGAAGCCACTTCTGCTGGGGGTGACGAGGCCTCCTCCCCTGGCAAAGAAGACTCAGAATTTATGGACTCAATTTCTCCAGCTTCACCAGGGTCTTCCTCTATGTCCCCATTCCAACTTACAGGATCTCATTCTCTCCCAATCAATGCCCTCACTTTAGCAGTAGATACACTCTGAGGTCGAGAGTTCAATTTGTGTTCTGATTCACCTAGAAGCAGGATGAGGTTCTGCATTAGATTTTCAGCACCCTTTGGCACTAAGGGGTATGGGTCTCCTTCAGGGAAAACACAGAGGTTTTCAGGTTATTTATGCAATGCTTGAGTGGCTACACCATTATACATTCCTACAAACAGAGCACGAGGATTCTACTTTCTCCACATCCTTGTCAACATTTGCTATTTTCTAGGTTTTTTTTTTTTTAATGGTAGCCACTTTAATGGTTATGAAGAGTGGTGTAGCTGAAGTTATAGAATAAGTTGGGAAGCATTTTCTTCTTTCAAAATTTTCCAGAAGATTTTGTATAGAATTGGTAATGCTCCTTCCTTTAATGTTTTGTAGAATTCCCCAGTAAAACTTTTTGGCCTTGAAGTTTTGTTTTGTTTTTTTGTCTGCATGGAGACATTTTTAACTAAAATATCAATTTCTTTAAGGCACATAGTGCTTATTCAGGTTGTCTATTTTTCTTTCTTTTTTTGGCTGAGGAAGATTCACCCTGAGCTAATATCCATTGCCAATCCTACTCTTTTTGCTTCAGGAAGATTGCCCCTTAGCTAACATCTGTGCCAATCTTCCTCTATTTTAAATGTGGGCTGCCACCACAGCATAGCTTGATGAGCAGTGTGTAGTTCTGAACCTAGGATCCGCACCTGGGAACCATGAACCTCCACAGCAGACCACACAAACTTAACCACTAAGCCACTGGGCCGACAACTGTCTACTTCTTGAGTCAGCTTTGGGCGTTTGTGTCTTTAAAGATTTTGCCCATTTCAACTAAGTTGTCAGATTCATTGGTATAAAATTGTTCATAATGTTCTCTTATTTTCCTTTTAATATCTGTAGAATCTTTAGGGATGCAATCTCATTCTTGATTCTGGTAATTTGTCTTTTCTCTATTTTTCATGATCAGTCGGGTTAGAGGTTTATAAATTTTCTCAATCTTTTCAAAGAACCATCTTACCAAGAACTCTTTTAAATCAATTTCAATAGCTAGATCCAGTTAATATTAATCCTCACGTAATTCTCTAATATACAACCATTTTAATTTAATCTTACAAAATAAGTTGAAGGTTAGCTTTCCACTCCACATAATAAAAATTTGAATATCATGAATGGAAACTACCATTGATGTAGGTGTTCCCTCTACAAGATTTTAAAATTATGGCCATATCACTTTTGATTAAACATCTCAAGTGATAATGAACTCAGTATCTTTTACATTGGATAACTCAAAATTTTGAAAAGGTCTTTTTTTGCATTGCAGCTTCTGTCAAAATGCCACTAAAAACACATTACTAGAAAACAGGATAGTTTATTTTGGGATTTCCTGTACAAAACATAATTCTACTGAGTATTATTTCATAACTGTCTGTTTGAAATAGGATACATGATGGGGAAACAGAGTAAAAATAGAAACTAGGAGGAGAAACAACCCTTACTTTTCATTACAGCTCTGTTTCTGGTGATAGTCTTACTGAACTAAAGACTCTTCTTTTGCTTTAGAAGCTAACATAAGAAAAATGCCGTTGGAGGCAGTGATTGCAGAAGGCAAATCAAGGCCTAGATCTTTAGTTACTAAAGGCAAAACTATATCAGAAATGCTCTCAAATAATCTTAGATTTAATATACTGATCTGTTAGTTATTGAACAAAAATTACACATGGAAATAGTCTAAGGATCAGAAATAAAGTAAACTATCTCCCCTCATCTATTTCATTCCTTGTTCACCCAAATTCCTGTTTCCTGATTAAACCATTTGTCCCTATTCCTTCATTCTAATACAAACAAGAATTTTGGATGCATAATTTCTCCACACTTAATTTTTATCATTTTAAAATAAAAAGACAAATAGGTGAAAATAGTGTATAAGAAATACATAATATAGAAAATAAAAATCAAAAACCTATTTTTTCTTGGACTTTGTTTTTGGAAAATTATTTCAAAATTTTATGCACTCTGCCTGCTTTATTATAATGTTCAAGCTAATTTAACCATATTGTGTTATCATTCTACTTTGTTCTCCTTACCTGTGTTATCATAAGCATCTCCCCCTCTCTCTTTCTCTGGTTTTATTTACTTATTCATTTATTTCATATTGTGGTTAAATCTTGGCTTCTGCTGCCTTATCTTATTTACACTCAATGTTGTTTCAGTTTTTTCTTTTCTTTGATCCTGCCTAGGCTTGGCAGACATAAAAATAGTGAAATACTAGTGATATTTTAGTGAGGCCTTAAAGAATAAATAAAAGTTGAAAAAGAAAAGATGTGCAGGAAACTTTATAAGAAGCATTAAAAATACATTGATATTTTGGGTGCAAAGATGTGTAGTTGTTTTAAGGATAGGCAAGAGTTTTGGGGAAAATGTCTTTATAATCAACCAATTACTAACATCCTCATTCTTCATTCAAAATAGCTAGAAAACTCAAGGAAAGTCCTAAAAAAATATACGCGGTATACTCATACTCTGACAATAATTCTTTATATTTTCACTTGCTGTAGATACTGTTGATAAAATATTCAAAGCTATATAGTTTGCTAGATTTTTGAGATTTCATTACATGCGTTTAATTATGATAAACTTAGAAGCTTATTTAAAAAGTCCTAAGAACTAAAATTGCTAATAATTGCCTTTTATTGATGATTTGCTCCAAATTCATAGGGATGTATATGTATTATATATTAAACAATGATAAACATAATCCTGTACAACTTTTAAAAAGAGCAGAGGTTACAGCACTACTGTAAACATATACTAATTTTAGAGTCAGTTTTCCTCATATATAAAAATGTTATTAAACACCAGAGTAGATTCTGATCCTAAAGACCAGTCTCCCCAACAGACTCCATTTGCATGAAAGGTATTCTTGATGCTGCTGAAGATGATGGGACTTCCAAAGTCAGTCACTTCACCCACTGCTGCTTCAGACGAAGACAGAGTATAAGTTCTAGCCAGCTCTTAACTCTCTGCACCCCTGGATGGCATCACTGCACTGAGAGTTTAGAAATCATACCTATTCACCCTCTACAATGCACACTCAAAAGTCAATTTACCGTGTTAACTGTACTTTACCAGTAGAGTATATATTAATTTGTAGAAAAAAAATGATTATCACATTTGTACATTTCTGTTAAATAACACATTTTGGAATTGGGGAATTTGACACAGAAGCCATAGATTAATATGTACAGCAGCCATGCAAAGTAATTATTGCTGGAAGATCATAGTTCATGGGCATGCCTAAAAATTAATGTTCAACTTTAAGAGAAAGGCCTATTGCATGGAGAATTGCTAGAATGTTTTCCTCATTATCTTTGTTTATGTCAGAAACCTATCCTCTGACAGCAATCAGTTAGATCCTAGCAAAGAAACAGAATAAGCAGAAGGCAAAAACCTATACGAAAAAAAGCTGGAAAGTCTCAAATGTGCTACTCTTATTAGAAGGGGATAACACAGGTTTCTTTGGGGACAGTGAGGGGAAGGGAGATCAAAACATGGAAAAGTGCATTTGAAAAGACTTCAAACAGTGTAGCTGACAGAGAAGTGGATTTCAATAGTTATTTTTATACATTTCTAAGAAGAATTTAAAGCAGCAGAACACTGGGGGCCCTTCAGGTGCACAGGTCAATGTGGTCATATGAAAAAAAACAACCACCCACTTTTGTTCCTAACACCTACTTCTAGGGTTAAATAAGGCATCAGCTGCTCCTTGAATTAAACAAATAATAATTTTGAAAAAATGCTCTGACAGTTTTGGCTGCAACTAAATGATTTTAACTTTGATGCTTTAAAAGGACTACATTCAAATCCATTCAATATTTTAAGTCTACCTCTTTGTTTTTGTCAGGATTTGTATTATTTAAAGAGAAAGTCTGATTCTTCCGACAATTTAAAGTGAACATTGGAAATAATCGAAATCTGCTGTTACTTGCATCAGTCAACCCAGTAGTGTATGTATTTATATTTACTGTAATCTATAAAGCGAACTGGATATCCTGAGTATATTTGTTAAAAATGCAGGCCAATGTTTATGCACCTTTTGTCATTTATCTATTTTTATCATATATATAACAATTGAAGATTTACCTTCATTCTGTAAAAGGAAAAAATGTATGGATCATTCCAGGTAGAGTATGAATATTTCCTGTTTTATTTTTGTAACTTTTTGAATTTTGTTCTTCGCTTAAGTTCATGAGATTCCGGGATGGCAACTTTTTCGAGCTTTATGGTAACTGCTAAAGTGCAGGTTTGAACTGATCCACAAAATGACCATAAAATTTGGGGTTTCAGTTCTCTGTGACACTAGTGTGACACAGAGTGTAGGAGTAAACGAGATACTGAGACTAGCAGAAAACTTCTGTGTGGGAATATCTAATGTCATGCGATCATTGGTTATCTTTCTTCTGACATGATCTCTCTGAGAATCGATCCTTCATATCAACAAGTGCCTCCTAGTCTCAAAGCAGAGGTGAAAGGCCCGCAGAGCCAGCACATCTAGCCGTGTTTCTGACCAAGATTTTTCTCCAGCTGGTGAAATCCCAGGGCATAGACGCAGGTATCATCGGCCAGTGTGGGTGTGTGGCCTAAGTCTCTGCTGTGACACTGCTGAGCTCAGAGGGATAAAGTAGGATTTGCTGTGGGGAAGTTATGGAGAAAGCTGGGAGGGCTTTGGACGGTTGCAGAAAATAACTGATCTTGGGATCATGTTAGTTAATATCTAATGTTAACTTTATTTTACAGGTAAAGACAGGAATGGATCAGAATTAGAGTGGGTCAAAATATTTGCTATGCAGAATATGATGTTTTAAAAATCCTCAGACGTTTTGGGGAATATTTAATTCTTTTTTAGATGATATAAATCTTTGTTTTTTTCTCTCTCTTCTATGGGTGCTACCTAACTGGTTAGCAATGAATATCCAAAGCTTAAATTCCCTCATCCTGAAATGTAATAGGAAAAGTTTCAATGCTTTGATAATATGATTATTTTTCTATCAAAATAAATCTACTTTTATTTTACAAATGTGTTTTCTTGCTTTGGTATGCAGACATTCAATTTAAAAATAACTAAACAAAAACTAATTACCTAGGAAAACATGACCTTAAAACAAGATTTATCTTATAATCTGGCATTGTGGTAGACAGAGTACTTATTGAAAAACAAATGGTAGTGTATACATTTTATCATCATTAATGATTATTCAAGTTTCCTCAAATTATGAAGTAATTAAGTGGTGAAATATTTAGTTATTTTAATAACCCAAGAATCAAATCCATTTAGGAAGAACAGTTATTTGGTTCTTTCTACAGAGTTACCAAAAATATTATTTTGGGAAAAATGTTTCTCCTTTTTAATCACTATTTATTTATATTTCCAGGAGAGAGGTTATTATGTATTTTTGTAAAAATATTGTTTTTATAAGCTAAGTGTAAGTGAAGGATAATATTTTTGGATAAGTAGAAATAAATAAACTATGCATAATATATATGTCAACTAAACCTATATTTCTGTATACTACATATTTGTATATAAAATATACTTCAATATATATTTTATGTCTATTTATTTGAACCAAAGACAATCATTTACTGGCTGTCTGAAATTAGGGATAGTATTTATATGCTTTGAGACTTCATTTTCCTCATGTATTAATTGAAGAAAAATCATCACTGTGCAGCGTTGTCGTTAGAATTACAAGTTATGCTTTGCTCATTTAATGTCACTTTCTAAACCCCCTTTCCTTGAATCTCATGATACCTGCATTCTTCTCACACTCTTAGAGAGAAGTCATGACTCCAGTGACTGTAAGTTTCAAGGGGTAATATAAACAACTGAATGGGGTCTGGCATAAGGCAATATGGCTGGTTGGCAGGTTTATCACATTGGAATCTGTTTGTCCTTCCTAAAGGGGGCTTACTCTATTTATTTAGTGTTAGAATATAGTTGCCGTTTGGGCATAATACAGGCACTAAGTGACCAAAGATAATTTTTCAAGAGAAGATATATATCTAGATTCTTCATGAGTATGAAATATATCAATTTTTAAATTGTGGCAATGAATTCACTTTAAAAACAGTGAAAGCTTAACATGACATGCCCATAAACTGTAATGGACCATGATTTAATTGTGTAAGACCTCTGTTGTAAGGCATCACAAAGCGAAATTTAAATCATTTTTCCTGATATTCCCAGATAAATGGTTACTTTAAATCACTTATTTCAGACTCTCCTACTTATCGTTCATTTAGCTCTCCCTATTCGTTCATGATGAATGTTGTCATTTTCAATGTTATTATTTATACCTTATTAAGCATTGCAAAAGACTCTTGCTGTATTCTTTGCCTGCAGCCCTCAGAAATGAGCGAGGAGAGAGTGACATACACGGAACTGAAACTCCCATATTCAAAGAAACAGAGAAACAAAAGACATCCAACACGCAAAAAAGGAGGTAAAGTTTTTTTCCGTTTGTTTTCCTGTTTTCTGAAAACATTATAATGTCAAGTAAGAAAAAATGAAATCATGATAATTGTATCCATATATATTTATATTATATGCCTAGTTCTTTATATACTGAGGGGTATATTTATATGTAATGTTCAATGAGATATGTGATCACAATAAATACTGATACTAACTTTAACTCCAGAATAAATTTCCATTTTGGTCAAATTCAGAGTTTTGCTATGCTCAATGATTTGTATATATTTTGGTTTTTTGATCTTGTACAGAATTTCCATGGCGTGGTGTTGCAATAATCCTGGGAATCATATGTTTTTTTCTCCTGCTGGCTATCACAGGCTTAGGATATATGTGTGAGTATCAGGTACACACATTTCTTATGAGAACAGTGAACCAAGATAAAAAAATGAGGTACTATAACTATTGAACCTCTGCTGAACCTTTGTAAACTATAAATTCTATAAAAATATTAGTAGTCATGATGGTATTGGTGATGATATCGACGATGATGATGATTTTATTATTTTGCCATCACTTAGATTTTATGCCACACAAAATAATGTGACAACTGTAACAGCACAAAAATTTTGCTGATATGTACAGTAAGGTTTACATATATATTCTAACTTATTTTGCACATAGAATGAGGTTTTCCATATGACCCGAGAACTGGAGGAATCTTTATTTGAATATTACATTCCTTATAATACTGAGATACTCCTTAAATCACAAAGGAAAATAAACTCGATCTATTTTCTATATCATTAAATGTTATCCATCGGTTTTGATATATTTCATGTCAATTTTTAAAAATTTGCACACAACACTGGCTTTCAACATCTTTTTCCTGATGATTATTAATTCTTTGGTTCACTCATTTTGCAAACAATTTTGAGTATCTTCTATGGATCGGGAACTATTTATGGTAGCAACGATACAGAAATTTTAAAAATGTCAGCTGTCAATGACTTCAGTTTAAGGGGGAAGATTTCTTTTTACATGAACCAGTTTTTAAAATAAAATATTACTGGTGCTAGGCTAATGGCATGAAGCTACCACATGAATGGCATATAACATGCTGAGGTCAAGAAAGCACTTTTGTAGGAGATAATCATTGATATGATGCAAAGGACAGTTAGGAATGAGTCAGGAGGTTCAGGGTAGAGAAGACTCATTCAAGTGGAGAACAACATGAAAAAAGAACAGATTTATATTTTAGAAGAATTTCAGTTTCTAGGCAAATTAAAAAAGTGGCTAGAGACAGGTTTGGCTAAATACACAACTTCATGAATCTTTTGTACCATATTAAGAAATTTTAGATTTGCCCTAAAAAGAAAGGAAATTGTTAGAAAATTTTATGTGAGGGGAAAACATGACTCATGTCACATGAGCAGATATGGATTTTGGAAATATCAGTCTGAGTAGATGATAAAGTGAGTGGGGAGGGCATGATAAGAGATTTTTTCAAGAATCAGGGTTACTGACAATGGCTGTGTGATTTAGTGTCATGAAAGAAGTAATGAAGGGTAGGAAACATATTTGAAAATTGTTGAAGATGTAGAATTGCTAGAATATGCGTTTAATTGAATGGGTAAGGGAGAGAAGGGAATCAGTGATACCATTTCGTATCAGGCTTACACACCTTGGTGAATATATTTCATTAAATGTTATCGAAAACATGAGACGAACGTTAGGCTATGACTTTGTGTGTGTGTGTGTGTTAATAATGGTGAAGACTGATGCACTTGTGACACATCAGTGCTGACGACAAGAGATTGGTCTGTGTATCCAGAGTGAACTTTTGGAAGTACATATAGACCATCAGCATGTATATGGTAGGAGTAAGTGTCTGGGGATCAAGAGCGATGCCTATATTAGAGACAGGAATTGTTGATCCATCAAGTAATATAACAAGTATTTGAAGACATGGTAGAGGAATATAGAAGCCAGACAATGGAAAGCCTTGTTAAAACAGGGTGAGTAGATTATGATTATTAGGATAAATCAACATTTAGAAGTAGGTGAAAGATGAGTAAATGGTGAAAAAAAATGATGCTTTGGTTAGACAAGTATGATGGAGTCCAAAACAGTATGCCATCATGGAGAGTAAGCTAAAGATAGTCAATGGTTCCAAATAGTACAGGGAGATCGAGTCATATAATTGAAAAAAATATAATGGCTTGTTAAGTTTGGCAAGGGAAAGGCCACTAATGATATTTGTTAGAGTAGATTCAGTGGAATGGTGGGGATGGTTGAAGCCAGATTGCAATGGCTAAAATTTATTTGAAGATTAGGAAGCAGAGACGGTAAACATAGAAAATTACTTTTAAAATTAAGGCTAAGCAAAAAATTTACCAAGTTTTGAAAGTATGTGGAACCACATGATCTCATACACTGTTAAAAGGAATATAAATGGATAAACTACTTTCTAAAGCAGTTTGGTATTATCTTCTAAAGCTGAACTTGATTCAGCAATTCTAATGCCAGGTACATATCCAAACGAAATCCTTGCACACGTACAGCTAGACACATCTACAGGGATGTTCATAGTAGTGATTTTCACAGTATCAAACATCTCTGAACTACACAAAAAACCATTAATGGGAGAGTAAAATCTCTGTAATTTATTCACAAAATGGAATTTATGTAGCAATCAAAACAAATGAACTACAGTGAAACGCAACACTGTGGATGAATCTTAGCAAGATAATATGAAATGAAAAAGAGTAAATTTCAAAAATGATTCTATACCAGAATATCTTTGTATCAGGTTAACAAGTTAAAAGCAAATAAAATAGTACAATTTCAGGAAATACATAAAGAAACACTAAAACTGTATATAAAATGTATCAAGGGAGCAATTTCAACGGGTTTCAGTTGCACAGTTTGAGAGAGGCAGGAGGACGGAATGGAGTGAAATATAAAAACAGATAAATGTAATGGTTAAGGTCATAGCTGCAGTTTTGGGTAACTAATTAACAAACTGACTCATTAAATAAATGAGAAAAGCTTCTTTGAGCAATGTTGAGAGTGTCTCATGAAGAAGAGATTATGAATAATCTTATCCTGGCACACAAGATCTAAAAGCTAAAAAGAAACAACTCTGTTATAAAGGATATGGAAAATAAAGGATAAGAATTTTTGTGGAAAAGGTAATTTGAGATGATCATATGCAACAGAAGGAAACATTAGAGTGAAATTATTGAGGATTCAGGAGAGAAATAGAATAATAGGAGATTATGTTTACTAAAGATGCAATAGTGGATGAAATGCAGACTAGGGGTGAGAGTTTCAGATTTGTTCAATGGGATGCAATATTTTTTCTGAGATGGATTGATGGATATCTGTGCTTTCATAGGAGGAGAAACGAGAAGGAGAGGGGAACTTATGCGTGATGGTGACTGTTTCTATGTGGAGTAGCAGATGAGGTCATCTTCTGAGAGAGAGAGAGTCAGAAGTACACTAGATAATTTAGGGAAAGATTAAATACTTGAAATAGTTGTTGAACTGAGAAAAGGATGTGTTTCAAGTATACTGCGTAGTACTGAGGAGCGAAATGGTGATGAACATTAATCTGTATCTGACAGTTTTGTGACTTTTTGTCATTTGACTTCCAGAAGCTTGTGTGGAGATGAGATGGCCAGTGATAGAGTGTTTCAGAGTTGGCTATTTTCAGATGTGCAAAAAGACTGTGTTGCACGATTGTTGGAGGCCCTGCCAAAATTACTTGTCTATTAAATGGCGTTGGATAGACAAAAAGAAAAGGAGAAGGGAATTGATTAATCACAGTAAATGGTAGTATTTAGGAAACAGATGTCTGGACGTGTCTTTTTAAATCAGGTCCAGAATATGAACTTTGGAAAGAATTGCTGAATTGAAGCAATAATTCTATACACTATAATTGAGGGCATTAGGAGACTGTGCAATTGGTGCTGTTTGATTTTTACAAGTAGACATTGAATTTGGCTAAATGATGGTGGGTGGTGGCAGAATTTGAAAAGAAGATTCTCAGTTGTGTCAGAAATCCTCGATGGATTTTTTAAAAATGTTCATACATTTAAAGAGCCATACATTTCATGTTCTTACATTTTTTATTCAAGAGTTTTTGGAAGAGGTTTCTATATCTCTCAGAGGTTTTTGACTTTCTTTTTGCACGTTAGAACTAGCCGTCTGAGATCTTTCCCCTGTATACTCATTGACTCCACTATAAATTTATACTGAACAGAGCCAAATCCTTTTGTTTAGCTCTAAATGCAAATACCAAATACTAAATAAAATACTGAGTACTAAATTTCACAAACTTTGAAATCTTTATAACATAAAAATTTTATAACATAAAAATCAGTTAGTATTTTTCTTATTTTCAGTTTATATTTCCCCTTTATAAATGTGTATCACTGTTTTACATACTTTAAAACATAATATATAGTTATATATAAAAATCCATTTTAAGTTCTTCCATTTGAAAATATTTTAACCTTGCATTTTCTCTGACTGTACTTCCGTTTAGTCAACATCATTTACTTTGTAATTTAGAATTAGACGAAATGATCGTAATAAAGTGATGTATTATAACCATTCATGATCTTAATTTTTTAATATGGATTGAAGATTTTTGGAACTCTTCTGAGGGCAAAAGAAGAGATATGAAAGACGCAAAAGAAAAAAATACTTCCTCACTAGATGTTGAAAATCACTCAGTTTTGCCAAGTAGTACCGGTATGTACTAAATACTTAAGCTGACAGTTTACAGATATTTTTTCATGGAATTATCCCCTTCTGTCCTATTTCAATATGTAATTTTAAAACTTTTCATTGAACTTTGTCAGGACATTTAATTTTGCTCACCTTTTCTCACCAAATTCATTTTATTTGTTATAGCTAATTGAACACGACATTCACAAAGTAACAAGCCCCTATTATATTGTTGTATTGATTTGATTATTTGACTATTTTATGCTTGTGGATGATTTTTCCCCAGTATAGATCTCTTGGAATTAATACCATTCCCAATATTCACTTTGATGGGCTTCTTCCTGCGGAGAACTGCTCCATATTGCTGCAGTTTGTTTGTACTCGAGAAGTCAAGATTTCTCAGGGCCATCTTCACAGTGGCCTTGGGTCTGTCAGAGGCAGCATCTAGCTCAACAGTATTATTACCTGCAGAATTTGGCAGAAGAGCTATTCCTAATGTAGACTTTTGGGATACAGGGACATCACCTATTCTCTGGTATTCAGTCTGAAGTAAGCAATGAAATACGTAGAAATTACAGGTACTCTAAATGGTCTTGGGGTTGTAGATGATGGTGGTTTTCGTTTTCAAGGTAAAGACTATGACACCTGTCAAGAAAAATGGTCCTGCTGTGGAAAAAACTGTTACTATTTTTCAAAAGAAGAGAAAACTTGGGATGAGAGTAAGACATCATGCCAAGGCCTGGGTTCCAGTCTCATTAAGATTGATGACAAAGAGGAGCAGGTATGTTCACTTTATCAAACCTGAGCAGGTGCTTTTTGAGAGGTTCATATGTCTTGAGTTAGGATAATCGGTTAGATTTCGCTCCAATATTATTTGACTGATTTGGGTTGAAGCACTTGTACATTCTGGAGCTGATGTACCTGCAGAGGAGGGGACACAGGTGCAACAAAATCTTGGAAGAATCGTTGTTTTAAAACAAGAGATATAGCTTTACTGTGGACGCCATGGAATAACTTTCAGTCTTTTTATTATATGTGCTGCATCTTTACATTTTGGTATACATCAGACTGTTGAGATTTTAGCCTCTTGGTGCTACTACAGGGCAAAAGAAAATCTTCCTTCAATGATATGAGCAGTCTAAAAGAGACAGCGTCTCATTGTACTGAGTTCTAGTCTTCTCCCATCAATATTTGGGAGGCATCACAGTTCTAAGGGAGGATGAATCTCTCACTTTCCTGCCGTGGGAATATAGAATGAAAAATAGAGAGAATAAATATAGCTGGAATGATTCTTCAAAGACGAATTTTTGTTTCAGTCATAATTCAGAACGAGAGAGGAAGCTTCTGTCTTCTAGGAGAGGAAATCTAGACCAAATTTGCCAGTACTTATAAAATTGGGGAATAGAAAGCCAATCTAACATATTCTGTATTTTTCCTTCTGGTGATTCAATGTAGGCACTGAATTGCATTTATAATATTTAGTCTCAGCAATGACATTTCTATTAGTGTCTTATGAAGAATGAGTTAAAAACCCTATGTTTTCTTATGTATAGAATTCTTATGTTATTAAAATAGTAGTATGAATAAATCACTCTTTACTATAAAAATGAATGAATAGTAGAATATGAAGTCAAAGAAATACAAAAATCCAGATGTAGCTGATAAGTAGCTTGATCAATTTCAACCTCAGTTGTTATTAATCAATTCCTAAATGATATGAGTTTTGTCTACTCTCAGGAAATTAACATTATTTATAATCCAAGTTTTCTTTGTAATTTCCAATTCTGTTCACTTCAGTTTTACTCCTGCCACTGAAGTTTCTGAACTTCAGAGTTTCAGTGGAAGTGCTTATATCTGTCATCCCTGTGTTTCTATAAACTATTCTATCTCCCTTGAAATTTCTGGTAAATTTTGCTATTGATTAGAGCAATAGATAGGCCTCATGCTGTCTTATCTGATTTCATGATAACTTTGCTATCAGTATGTAAATCTGGAATACTGACACACTCCACAACACCTGCAACAGACTTTGTTGAGCAGCATAACTCTCATACTACTGGTTTAGGCTTTTCAGTCTTTTGCTGCTTTACAAAGCCTAAGAATGTAATTAAAGCAGTGACTTAAATCCACTGATATTTGAAAGCAGGTTTTGACTTTTATACATTTATGTATACCTCTGACATCTAGCAAAAAATGTGAATCAAAGAATTAATGGACATTTAATTTTAGTACTTCTTCAGAGACTTAGAAAAGGTGAAGTGTGTATATATATATATATATATATATATATATATATTTATATACACACAGATAAAATTTATTGTTTTATTGAGGTGCCATTGGTTTATAACATTATATAAAGTTCAGATATACTTCGTGATATTTCACTTCTCTGTAGGATACATTGTGTTCACTCAAAAGTTTAATTGCCCTCCGTCATGGTGCAAATGTTCTCTTTTACCCTTTTCACCCTTCTCCATCACCCCTTCCCCTCTGGTAACCTCCAATCTGTCCTCTGTATCTACATGTTTGCTGGTTTGTTTATCTTCCATGTATGAGTGAAATCATGTAGTATTTGGCTTTCTATGTCTGACTTATTCTGCTTAGCATAATACCCTCAATGTCCATTCATGTTGTTGCAAAAGGCAAGATTTCATCTTTTTTAAGATTGAGTAGTATTCCATTGTATATACACCACATCTTCTTTAGTCATTCATCTGTTGATGGTGACTTAGGTTGTTTCCAAGTCTTGGCTATTGCAATGAACACAAGGGTGCATATGTCTTTTTTTTTTTTTTTAAAGTAGTTTTTTTTTTTTTAAATTTTTTCCTTTTTCTCTCCAAAGCACCCCCGGTACATAGTTGTATATTCTTGGTTGTGGGTCCTTCTAGTTGTGGTATGTGGGACGCCGCCTCAGTGTGGTTTGATGAGCAGTGCCATGTTTGCGCCCCGGATTCGAACCAACAAAACACTAGGCTGCCTGCAGTGGAGCGCACGAACTTAACCACTCGACCACGGGGCCAGCCCCATGCATATGTCTTTTTGAATTAATGTTTTTGTGTTCTTTGGATAAACACTCAGAAGTGTCATAGCTGGATCATATGGTAGTTCTATTTTTGATATTTTGAGGAATTTCCATACTGTTTTCCATAGCTGCATCAGTTTGCATTCCCACCAGCAGTATATGAGAGTTCCCTTTTCTCCACATCCTCTCCAATACTTGTTATCTCTTGTCTTTCTAATAATAGCCATTCTGACGCATGAGGTGATATCTCATTGGGTTTTTGGTTTGCATTTCCCTAATAATTAGTGATGTTAAACATCTTTTCATGTGCTTGCTGGCCATCTGTACATCTTCTTTGGAAAACTATAAGTTCACATCCTCTGCCCATTTTTTAATCAAATTTCTTTCTTTTCAGTTGTTGGGTTGTATGAGGTCTTTATGTATTTTGGATATTAACTCATTGTTGCATATATGGTTTACAACTATCTTCTCCCACTTGTAGGTTGTCTTTTTGTTTTGTTGATGGTTTCCTTTGCTATGAAAAAGCTTTTTGCTTTGGTGTAGTCCTGTTTGCTTATTTTTTCTTTTGTTTCTCTTACCTGAAGAGACATGGTATTCAACAAGATACTGCTAAGACCAGTGTCAAAGAGTGTTTTCTTCTAGGAGTTTTATGGTTTCAGGTCTTATATTCAAGTCTTTAATCCACTTGTGTTAATTTTGTGTATGGTGTAATACAGTAGTCTACTTTCATTCTTTTGCATATGGCTGTCCAGTTTTCCCAACAGCATTTATTGAAGGCACTTTCCTTTCTCCATTGTATGTTCTTGGCTCCTTTGTTGAAAATTAGCTGTGCATAGATGTGTGGGTTTATTTCTGGGCTCTCAATTCTGTTCTGATTATCTCTGTGTCTGTTTTTCTTCCAGTTCTGTGCTGTTTTGATTACTATAGCTTTGTAGTATGTTTTGAAATCAGAGGGTGTGACACATCCAGCTTTGTTTTTATTCTAGGGATTGATTTGGCTGTTCAAGATCTTTTGTTGTTCCACATAAATGTTAGGAATCTTTGTTCTATTTCCGTGAAAAATGTTGTCAAGACTTTGATAGGATTGCATTGAATCTGTAGATTGCTTTAGGAAGTATGGACTTTTGAACAATGTGAACTCTTCCATTCTATGAGCATGGAATATCTTTCCGTTACTTTGTGTCTTCTTCAATTTCTTTCAACAATGTTTTATAGTTTTTAGTGTACAGGTCTTTCACTTCCTTGGTTAAATTTATTCCTAGGTATTTTCTCTTTTTGTTGTGATTGTAAATGAGATTGTATTCTTGATCTCTCTTTCTGCTATTTCGTTATTAGTGTGTAGAAACATGATTGATTTTTTATGTTGATTTTGTACCCTGCAACTTTACTGTATTCATTTGACATGGTTCTGTAATACCTTTATGTTTTTTCTAGGCAGTAAAACGTAAACTATTATGATTTTCCTCTTGTGTAATGTAATTATACTGATAAATATTGGAGTGTGTTTGAAAGAGAAAATAAATACATTGATTTTAGGAAATAAAATTAGTTTATTGCTTCATATTTGCATTCATAAGGATATTTGATGTAAATAAAATATACCAGTTGGAAAGAATAATGACAAATAATTAATGATATTTTATGTTAAATGTGTTTCAGATACTTTGAATGCATTCTTGTAGTTCAGAAAATCTTGGAAACAGATATTATGGTTCCCATTTCATAGATAAGGACAATGCTCAAGGAAGTTTATTTGCTTCAGTTTACACAGCAAATAAATGACACTGTGCATTTTAAAACTTGTAATTTTAGTTTCTTCATTTTCAATGTTGTATAATATTCCACTGCATGGAGAGATTTTACTCATTCTCTACAGGAATGTGGGTTGTTTCCAGTTTTTATTGTTTTGGATGATCCTTCCTTACACATTGTTACATAAATTGCTGTGCAAGATTTTCCCATGTATTGTCTCTTCTTTTCATCACAAATCACGCAAAGAGTAGAAGCATTGGGTAATAGGGTATATAAAAGCTCAATTTTCTATGATAATTCCAAATTATTATTATTATTAAAATTTTGTGGAGTAAGATTACCCTGAGCTAACATCTGTTGTTAATCCTCTGCTTTCTGCTTGAAGAAGATTTCCCTGAGCTAACATCTGTGCCAGTGTTCCTCTATTTTGTATGTGGGTCACTGCCACAGCCTGGCCACCAATGAGTGGTATAGGTCCATGCCAGGGAACCAAACCTGGGCCACTGAATTGGCATGCGCCTAACTTAACTGCTAGGCCACAGGGCTGGATCACCAAATTATTTTTTAGCATAATTCTTGAAACAATTTTAAAGATATTTCTTTGACCTCTATCATCCCTCCAATTTGGTGTTGACGTTTTTAATTTATGCCAATTGAATGGTTGTAAAATACATCCTTGTAGCCTTTATTTGCATTTCTCTGACCTCAAGTCAGCTTGGTACGTTTCCAAATTTATTGCCTATATATTTTATTTCATGTGAAATCACTGGTTTTGATTTTTGCCCATATTTTTCAATTGGATAACTTGGTTTTCTTATTGATTTAAAAAAATATTTTATTATTTAAAGTACTTCAAATATTTCCATTTTTGAAGCTTGTGTTTTCATGTTCTTTAAGATCTCTTCTGATAAAGAGAAACTCTAAGTTTAGTGCAGTCATATTTACCTATCTATTCTATTATAGGGTGAGATCTTCTTCTTTTTTTTTTTTTTTGGTGTGGAAGCTTGGTCCTGAGCCAACATCTGTGTCAATCTTCTGCTTTTTTGTATGTATGATGTTGCCACAGCATGGCTTGATGAGTGGTGTGTAGGTCTCTGCCCAGGATCTGAATTCATGAATACTGTGCTGCCAAGACAGAGTATGCAAACTTAAGCACTATGCCACCAGGCTGGCCCCCAGGTGGAGACATTTTTAAAAGTCTGTTACATCCCTTTCTTAATACCTTTCATTCAGTCACAAAGCAAAGTCTTGGGTGACTTATTATGGAGGCCTTTCCACTTCCCTTTCTTCTCTGCACAATAGAGAAATTAGTGCCTGCTTCATTTATCATAAGGGAATTTGAATAATACCAGTAGTTCTCATTTTCCCACAGATCTTCATTCAATCAAAGATAAAATACAAACATTGGATTGGATTACATAGAAAAGGAGCTAATCATCCCTGGATGTGGCAGGATGGCTCAGCACCATCTCGGAAACTGTAAGTTTTCATTTCATAGCCTCCCCTCTGTTTTTTGTTTTTGTTTTTGTGTTTTTTCCTCAGTAACTGATTCATAGAGAAGAGGTCAAGAACAGGATAAGATTATTGGGGATTAGGCTCCATCATTAATTCCACTTGATTTCACTTCTCGGATAGGTGGCTGCAAATCTCAGGCCCCAAATAATCAGATCCAAAGACCATTATTTGTTTCCATGCTCTTTAATGGAGATTCCTTCCAAACACAGTAAAATATAATTTTGCTTTTGTATCTTTCTCTTGTATATTCCATGATAGTAGTTGTTTTGACAGATATAGTTGGATGAAAGAATAAAAATATAGTGATGAAATAAAAGTTTTATCTAGGGCCCAGCCTAGTGGCACAGCAGTTAAGTTCACACGTTCTGCTTCCGTGGCTTGGGGTTCACCGGTTCAGATCCCTGGTGTGGACATGGCACTGCTTGGCAAGCTGTGCTGTGGTAGGCATCCCATAAATAAAGTATAGGAAGATGGGCACAGATTTTAGCTCAGGGCCAGTCTTCCTCAGCAAAAAGAGGACGATTGGCAGCAGTTAGCTCACGGCTAATCTTCCTTAAAAAAAAAGTTTTATCTAAACCTGGCCCTCCATCTAAGTGAAATTTGTAGCTGTTTACTGGGTGTCATTTAAGAACTAAAGAAAGATCCATTTCCAAATCAATCATTTAGTAATCTTGAATATCTAATGTGGTAATCAATACCACTCTTGCCATTATTTTTTACAAGTTTATATACTCCTGGTAGTTCTCTCTCATTAGTTGGTTGATGTAAGGAAATTAGTTTAGAAAATGAAGAAAAAATCCCTGTTATAATTAAACTTAAGTAACATGGAGGACAATATGAACTACTATCAATGGGCTAATTAGCATGCTGTTGATTGAGTGCCCATAATGTGCCATGCACTATTCTGGGAACTGAAGCCATAGCATTGAATAAACATTCAAAGATATTCTGCTCTTATGGATCTTAAATCCAGTAAAGGGATGAGAGTTGTGGTGGGGGTGAATGATGAAAATCCAAATATGCCCAGTTAATTATATAGCATATCAGAAGTTGAGAAATGCTATGGAGTGATAGTCAGTCCCTTACTTGTTATATAACAAAGTACTTTTCTGTGTTTGTAGGTAAGAGTAGGAGATTTCACTGTTTTAAACAGGGTGGTCAGAGACAGCCTCCTTGAGACAGTGATGTTTCTACAAGGACTTGAATGAGTAAGCTATGTGGGTTACCTGTTGGGATAGCATCCTAGCAGGAAAAATAGCTTGTGCAAATAGCTTGAGGAAGGAGTGTATTTAGCATGCTTGAGGAAAAAGCAAGAGGGCCTGTGATGCTGGAGCAAAGTGAGCGGGGGGAGAGAAGTAGGTCAGAAAGGTAACGAGAGAGAAAGCATGAAGACATCAAGGGTCATTGTAAAAACTTTGATTTTTTTGGTAAGTGTAATGAGAAGCTATTGGAGAGTTTTGAGAGGAGTGACAAATGCAGTCTTCCTGTTCTGAAGATTGACTCTGGGTACTCTGATGAGATTAGATTGTGTGTGTGTGGAGGGGGGCAGTATAAATTAGGATGCAGGGAGCTTAGCTGAAGTCATGCAGGTGAGAGATGACGGTGTCTCGATGAAGATTGACAGGATTGGTGCTGGTGAAAAATGGCCAGATTCTAAACGTATTTCAAAGATGTGTGGGAGACAGAGAAGTCAAGGATGGTTCCAAGGTTTTTGGTCCAGAAATTGTAAAAATGATGTTGTCACTAACTCTAATGGGGAATTTCTGAAGTTCAGTTTAGATATATTTCATAAATCTCTTAAACATTTAGATCTCTACTGGGATATCACATGAGCATTTTGCTACATGATTATGACGTTCAGATGAGAGGTCTGTGCTGGGAATGCAAACTTAGTACATATGAATGTATAGACGGTGTCAATACCATGAGGCTGGAGGTGATCATCAGGAAATCTAAGGCCTGAGCCCTTGGACACCCAAATGTTTAAGATAATGGAGAGATGAGGATAACCAGAAAACATTACTGACACAAGTCATTATAGAGATAAGAGGAAAACCATGAAAGAGCACGTAGGATAACAGGATACCTTAAGAGTTCTACTGAAATAACAAGCAGAATTTAGAAGATTGGTTACTTCCCACTGATAATTTTGTTACTTGAAATTATAGCTATCAGTTAGATTCATGAACATTTGGGTGGAAATTCAAAGTAAGTAACATTTTCTTCTGTGTGTTGCATCTTAGCCCCATAATTTAAAATCCGTGTTTCCTATTCTCACTCCTCAATTTCACAAAATTTTATTGCTTTGTTTGGTGTGGAAGACATTAGGCTCAGTGGAAAAAAGGTACACTCTTGTTTTAAATGCAAATAAGCACTTTCCATACATAAACTAAAGCTAACATAGGAGACTCATGTTCTATGCCCATTAATCTGGATCATGGGAAACTGGAAATATTTTTATATCTAGTTACAAGGTGTCACATAATAAATTTATTGTATTTAGTCAATTCTCAGAAGTTTCAGAAGTCTCAAAAGAATCTTTCAAATATAGGTATCTAATTTATGTATACATCCTATTTGATACTATCCTTTCTACTCCTTCCCTAGCTCCATTGTCAGTTGGCAATATTTCCATGTGTTTTAGATACAATTACACTTTATATTTTTATAGCTATATATCTGTCACAAGATTTTCATGCTCACTGAAATAATTACATACATATATTTTAAATTTGTGATAATCAAATTTTGCCTTAAGGAATGACTTTCTAAAATAAATATGTTCTCTGATGCAGGAATTTTCAACAGACTACACCTAATGCAAAATGTGGACACATCAAGTCAGCAAGTATTACTACCACTGATTGTACTCAAGAGTTTCATTTCATTTGTGAAAAGAAGTTTACGTGTCTTGATAATTAAAAAATGACTATAATCAATGTCTTAATATTTTCATTGTTTAATAGCTATTAGAAAAAACTTAGGATATTCCCTCAACTTAGTCAAGTATGTATGATTTACGAAGAACTGTGATCTCTCAAAACATACCTGAGCAAGAATAAAACAAGAAGTTTTATATGAAATGCATTTTTTTAAATTTATTTTAGTTTTTGTGAGGAAGATTGGCCCTGATGTAACTGTTGTTGCCAATCTTCCTCTTTTTTTTTTTTTTTGCTTGAGGAAGATTGTACCTGAGCTAACGTTTGTGCCAATCTTCCTCTATTCTGCATGTGGGATGCTGCCACAGCATGGCTTGACAAATGGTATATAGTTCTGTGCCCAGGATCTGAATCTGCAAAGCCCAGGCTGCCAAAGTGGAGCAAACGAACTTACCACTATGCCACTGGACCAGCTCCTATAAAATAAAATTAAATAAATCCAAAAAATAAGTTTATTTTTTTTGAAGTGTCATGAAAAAATAAATCAGAGAACATAAAAAATTCATTTTTATCGAGTGGAAGATGCTATTTTTTTCTTAATCATTTAGTTTATTTACTTGAATAGGTAATCAATACATTCACCCTGTTCAAAATATAAGAGGTACAAAATGATGAACAAATTCTCTTTTCCCATTTTGTTCCCTAATCACCTAGTTCTTTTCTCAGAGGCAAAATTTAATTAGTTTCCTAGATATTATTCTAGAGATATTTTAGGAAAGTACAACCATATACATAAGATCTACTAAAGCAAATGTTACATAATTATAAACAATGGTCTTGCTTCTTTATTCTTTTAAAATATATCTTGCAGATTGTTCCATATCAGTAAATAAAGAGCTTGCTCATTTTTTTTAAATAACAGCAAGTATTACACTAAATGAATGTACCAACATTTATTTAATAAGTTTTATTTCAATAGATATTTAGGTTTGCCTTAGAATTTGCAGTTATAGAAAAATGTTGCAATGAATAACACTTAATACAGTATTATTTACCATGTTGTGTATCTATAAGTTAAATCTTTAGCAATGTAATTTCTGAGTCAAAAGGCATTTACCTTAAATTTTAATAGATATTTAGTACACAAATAGTGGTTGTACACCCATCATCTCCACATAGCAATGTTCCAGAGTGCCTGCTTCCTCACATCTTTATCACCACAGTGTGTTAGAATCTGTTTGACTTTGCCAATAAAATCTTTAACAATGAATAGGGTTATCTTGTATCACTTAAATTTACAATTCTCTATTCGTGAGGCTGAGCATCTCTTTATGGTATTTCTTCTATCTAAAGTATCTGTTCATGTCATTGTGGATTAATATCACAGACATAATTTTGAGCAAAACAAACCAGACACAAAATAGTTCATCTTATAAAATTCCATTTATTTATATAGATCAAAGTCAGGTAAATCTAATCTCTACTGTTAGAGAGTAGGACAAAAGTTACTGAAGCGTGTATTTATTCCTAGAAGGAATAATAATGGAGAATGGATAATAGTTACCATGGTGCAGGTTATTTCTGGAAAGAAACAATGTTCAAGGAGTATTTCTCAGGTGCTGGTAATGTGTATTTACCAGTCTGGGTTCTGGTTATGTGGGTGTTGTGTTTCTTTCCTGGGGCTGCCATAACAAAGTACCACAAGTTGGACATCTTAAAATAGCAGAAATTAATTTTTTCACAGTTCTGAAATCTGGAAGTTCAAAATCAAGGGCTGGCAAGGCAAAGCTCCATCTGAGACTCAGGATAAATCCTTCCTTGCCTCTTCTGAGCTTCTGGTGGTTGTTGGCAATTCTTGGCACTTCTTGATTTGTTTCTGTTTCACTCCAATCTTTGCTTCTGTCATCACATGACATATTTCCTTTGTGTCACTGGTCAAACATCCCTCTTTTTATAAAGAAATCCATCATATTTGATTAAGCTTCACCCTAATGACCTTGTTTTAACTTGATCACATCTGCAAAAATTCTATTTCCAAATAAGATCATATTCACAGGTACTGGGAGTTGGAATTTCAACATATATTTTTCGGAGACACAGTTTAACACATAACAGGTGTGAAAATTAAATAAGCTCTACGTTAATGAATCTGTGCAGTTTTCTGTATGAGTGGGATACTTACATAAAGAGTTTTTTTAATAAAGGATGTCATTTACATTAGGAAAAACTTTAAATACCTGGGAGTAAATATAACAAAAGATGAACACGATTACCATGTAGAAAATTATAGAACTTTCCTGAAAGATATTAAAGAAAACCTAAATTACTAGAGAGATATCTCTTACTAATGATAGAAAGATTTAATAATATTATAAATATAATGACTCTCCCAAAAAGTGTTGTAAAAATTTAGTGAAACTAAATCAAATCCTAACATTGTTTTTTCTGGAAATTAACCAGTTAATTCTAATATTTATATGGTAAGGCAAAGAGCCAAGAACAGCCACTATACTTCTAAAGATGAAGAATCATAAGAGAAAATTTGGCATGATAAATAAAGGCTACATATTATAAGAGAAATATTAATTTAGACAGTTTGTTATTGGATCATGGACAAATTGACCACTGGAACAAAAGCAATACAAGGCACTGCACAAGGAGATTTACCAAATATTTCAAAGTAGAGGGGCACTGCCATCAATCAAGAAACAATGAAACTAGAAATCGCTGGGGATAGGTCTTTGGGTCCCTTCTGGGTAGGCATACAAAAAAAATTTATTGTGGAATACTTGACATACAGTAAATGTAGATATTTAAAGGGTATAATATGACAATTTTTGACATGCCTGTGAACACACTGACACAAGTATAGTGAACATATCTACCACTCCAAAATTTTGCTGGTGCCTCTTTATAATCTCTTACTTCGACACCTTGTTCTCACTGCCATCTCCAAATAACCACTGATCTGCTTTCTGTCACTTTAGATTGGTTTGCATTTTCTAGAAATTTATATAAGTAGAATTATATAGTATGCACTCTTTCTTTCTGACTTCTTTCACTCAGCATCATTATTTTGATATTCATCCATGTTGTTATATATCAATAGTTCATTCCTTGTTATTGCTGAGTAATGTTCCATTGTATAGATAGACCACCATTTATTCTTCCGTATATTTGCTGATAGGCTATTGGAAAGGGTCATCAAGAGAATATGACTTCCAGTTGACTTGTGAGCTGTACTGGCAATCAGAGACTCCTAATCCCCTCCCTTGTCCTTGGAATATACAGTCTGCCCTGAGTTCCCACAGTGAGAGCCATTTTCAGGTACACAGCCTAGAGAGAGCAATTTGTTTTTGAGACCATCTGGAAAGAATATGTGGCTGAACCAAGCTAGGGCCTCTATATAAACTTTTAAGATTTCTGGTGGACAGGTACAAAGATCTACTTGTCTTGCAGCTCCCCAAGATAATCCTTGTATGTAAGTTCCCGCAATTATTAAACCTGCTACCTACGAATCTGAAGCGATCTCCCTCTTTCCTTGGTCTCTCCTTGCCCTCCATGTATAAGAGGCCACTTTGCAAACCACCATGGACATTTGAGTTATTTCCAGTTTTGGGCTATTATGAATAAAGCTCTTATGACAGTGTACATTTCTTTGGTATGGACACATATTTCCTTTTCTCTGGGCTAAATGCTAAGTGGAATAGTTGAATCATCTAGTAGTTTTATGTTTGACTTTATATAAACTGCCTAACTTTTATAAAGTAGTTTGTGCCATCTTACATCCTCACTGGTAGTGTATGAGAGTTCCAGTTCCAACACACCCTTGCCAACAGTTGTTATGATCAGGTTTTCAATTTTAGCCTTTCTTCTATAAATGGCATGGCATTGTGATTTTAACTTGAAGTTCTCTAATGACAATGAGACTGAGACTTTTTCAGGTCCTACCTTGTCATCCATATATATATTTTCTGTGTGAAATGTCTATCCAAATCTTTGATGATTATTTTTTATTGGGTAGTTTGTTTTCTTATTGTTGAGTTTGCAAGTTATTCTTCAGGATGCAAGTCTTTTTCTCAGATACATATTTTAAAAAGATTTTTTTCCCCATCTTTGGCTTTCTTTTCATTCCTTTAACAGTGTTTTGAAGAATTGTTTTAAATTTTGATGAAGTCCAATTTTTCCGTTTATTATTTTATGGATTGTCCTTCTGTTATCATAGCTAAGAAATTAGTGCTTATTCGAATGTCACAAAGATATTCTCACATGTTTTATTTTAGAATTTTGTAGTTTTAGATTATACAGTTAAGTTTATGTTCAATTTTAAGTTAATTTTTGTATAAGGTGCAAAGTATGGATCAAGTCCTGCTTCTGTTTTTTGGGTTTTTTATTTACATATAGCTATACAACTGTTCCAGCACCATTGTTGAAAGTCTATCTTCTTGCCACTGTGGTGCTTTCATCAACAGTTTTTCATAAATTATCTAGGGAATATATCATAGGGTGTTCTTCTGAGTGTTGTCCTGGAAGTTTAACTTTGGCAATACCCATGCATTTATGGAAATTTGAATAAGACAAATGAGACAGAATTATCTTTTTCTATTCAATAAACTGTGTTGCAAAAATTGTTATCCATATGGAAAAATTTGTTACTAAATACATGCCTCATAACATACCAGAAAAATATAATCCACCTCAATGGAATTAAAAAGATAAACATCAAAACAAAAACTTGAAAACATTTAGAATAAAAAAATTAGGGAAATCACCCTGACCTTATGATAGGTAGAAATTTATTAAACAGGATGATAAAGCATTAATCATAAATAAAAAAGAATTAAACTATATTAAAGTTAACTCTGTATGATTATCCAAAAATGTCATTAAAAAGTGAAAAACCAAGTGATAAGTAGACAAAATGTAACCAACAAAAGATTCATCAAGAGCTTGTAAGGGGCCAGCCCCTTCACCCAGTGGTTAAATTGGAGGGCTCTGCTTCAGTGGCCCAGGGTTTCACTGGTTTAGATCCTGGGGGCAGACATGGTGCCATTCATCAGGCCATGTTGAGGTCAGTTTGATCAAGGAAATGAAAATTAGTATCATAGTAAGATATTTTTAATCATTCAATTGGCACAATATGGAGTGTGATATTAGGAAATGTCAGAGAGGCTGAACAGCCCTAGGGTTGCTTATACATT